TCTAGTCTTACACTGCTAAATTAGGGACGGCTAGCGCAGATATATCTCATGTAGCTTTGCGCGAAATTCAAAAAACAAACAAACAAACAGCATTTCACAGGCATATCTTTAGTACAAAAACATTAGTAACACATCTGAGTGTTTGTGTAGAATAGACTTTTAAGCTTACCACATTTCATAAAAATATAGTTTTTAAATTCGAAAATATGGTCAACGTTACTACTCTATTCGGTTAAAGAGCAGAGATTTGACCCTTACGATGCAGCCCCGAAATCCAGAGCTCTATCAAAACGACATTGGCACCCCAAGTTCACATATGAATTAACTAAATATTTATAATAGCTGGAGACGGCTTGAATGGGTAATGAAGAAAAACTTTAATATAAGTTTAACATAACAACAAATGTACAACGTTTCGACAAGGTTTTGTCAACATCAGGACATCATCATCCAGTCTCAAAGTGGGTTCCTCGTCATCGAATTTAACTAAATATTTAATTTTATTTCTAAAAACGTATTGTATTTGATAAACATTCGCCTTGGTTGTTCATACACAATAATGGCTTAAAATTATTTAAAACATATTTCATAATTAATTCTTATTAGCTTAAAGTAAATTGAGATACTTCAATATAAATTCATATATGCGTTATTACAGATGTTTTAATTTGTAGGACACATAGAAAATATTTTGTTTTATGCATAAAACCCACTGCTTGGTTTTATGCAGCTGTTTAGCACCAATTAATTTATATTTTACAGAGAGCGCTGCAGTAACGACCAAATTTCAAATAATTGATAATGTCTAACTCTTAAGTAAACTAAACTTTTTGTTAAAACTTAAATAAGTTAAACTGTCATTCTACTTGTACCCTGTTAGGATTACTGATATCATCATTGATAATGTGAGTGTAATTGTGAAATATAAATAAGTGAATGACAGATAACTTAAACATGTTTTTTTATTAAGAACTTTAAAGAAGCTTAGTTCACATATAAATTAAAGTAACTGTTAACTTACAGTTCTAGTATTACGGCGTGCTATTTCACTTTCAGTAGTTGTTGAGTGTTGTTATCACTTAGTAATACTCAGTCTAATAGTAGTATTAATACTATTGCTATCACTGTTACTGACTTGAACTTTAATTATTTATAAGTATAGTAATTTCTTCAGAAGCTTAACTTAGTAATTTCACATAAAATTTATTATATTAACATTATAAAAAAATAATTTGCTGAGCTAAACTGCCACTGAGTGAGACTGAAAGCTGTAATTGTGTATTAAATTTATTTTGGATATAGTAGTTCACTACCTAAACTGTAACTAAGTTTGAATTGTTTCAGTACTTTAAAAGTTATGTTTTATTTATTATTAACTTTTTGGAGTAGGTAGAGACTTAAAATCAGCTAAGTTAGAGACTCCTAAAGTTTAGCTTTGGGAATCACAGGGTTTTGCTAAAACTCTGAGTTGATAATCAGGAGTGAAAGTTAAACAGGATCATTTGGGGTATCTGCATGGATCATAGATTTGGTAATTTGATAGCTAATTAAAAATGTAGGGGCCAAATAAAATATTCTTAGTTCTATAGCTCCAATTATTTAATTATGCATTCCACTGATATTAAAATGAGTAGAATATACTAATATGGAGCAATAACTGAGATGGAATGTTAAAAAATACATTTGTGATAGAAGTTTAAAAGGATTAAAACTTGAATTGTTCCTCTTTCTTTAGCCAGCTGTACATTTAAAACTAGTGATTCTGAATTTGTCAAGCTGTTTGAACTCCACTTGTACACAGTTTTTTGGATTTTATTTGGTTGTTCATCTTCTCTGTCTGTTCATTTGATGATCTCTTTTTATAAAAAAAAAATGTCATGAATTGATTTTTACATCACCATTTACTGATTTAGTCATTTGTCCTGCATATTCTGCTAAATTTGTCAGATGACATACACTCTTGATTGTGGAGACTTGTAATCTTTATATAGTTACTTGGTAATGAGAAAGTGATATATGATGATTCCACATTTATTGGGTTTTAAGAAAAAATAAAAACAGTTGTTAGTATAAAAATTGACACCAGAAATAGCATTATTCTTTTTGCAGAACTATGTTACAGTGCACAAATGGAAAAGCCACAAATTATATTTTGTATTCGACATTCCCACCCTCCACAGTCACAACTGTCAAATACAAATTAATATATGATTGCCAAGAAAAATTATGGTCGCTACTGGTAACCCACAACACACAAATTTGAGGCCCGAAATTGTGTTATAGTTTTTTTTCATTTCTGTATTTTTAGACCTAATAACTGTTTCAACAACAGTTTCTAAGTGCCCCTGCTTGTCTCTCAAGCCCCTTCGGGGCTTGTTAAATATAAAACCAAAATTACTGCCAAGTTAATTAGTTAGTAGTTTCATGTTTTATCCATTTTCTTTATCCTCAAAAGTAAATTTGTGAACTTTATAAAGTGGAAATTGAGGTATACTGTTATAAGGATGCATTTCACTGTGTTTATATTAGTGGTAAAATTTTATAAAAAGCTTTAAGGTCATTTATTTAATGTAAACAAAATAAAAGTTCATTTAACATAATGGGCAAAAAATATGAAGTTATAATTCTGATACGGTGCATTACCTCTTCTCATAGACATAGCTATTCTTATTCAGTGCTGCCCTCTATATGCAAAAACTTTTTGGCATGCCACAAGCTTTGAGTTCCCATGTACCCTACGATCAACGTGGTTCAACTGCATCTTGCATGTAAATCATCATGCAACAACCCTCCACCAATAGGAGTGCAACACACCCTCACTTTACCATAGAGTATTTTCTCACCCTCAGGTAGGCTTTTTCTCCAGGTCTACGGATGACCAAAGTAGATGTCTCAAATGCTTATTTGAATATTTTTATATCTTGTCAGTTGTGGTGTTACCTTCAGTTTGTTCATCATGGGGTAGTGTATCAATTTTGTGCCCTACCCTTTGGGCTTGCTTTGGCCTCGTGTTTTTGTTGAGCAGTCAAGGCTTTTGCCCAATGTATGCATGCTTTTGTGTTGTGCTTTCACCTCTATATGGATGACTGGCTTCTGTTAGCTCATTCTGAACAGGAGTCCACCCATCACACTCATCTGCTTCTTTTGAAGGCAGCTCTTATAGGTTGGTTAATCAAGTTGGAAAAGTCATTTCTTATACCTACCCAATATCTTGTTCACTTAGATGTATTTTTCGACACTTACCTCAGTCGGGCTCAACCTTCTCCTCTTCGACTCCATTTGATGGAGATTTCAGTTCTCCACGACTATTACTGTTCGCAAGGTGCTATTACTTTTGGGGATATGGTCTTCTATGGAAACCCTTATCCCCTTGGGTCAAGAGCATAGGCATATGAGGTCTCTTCAGTGGACTCTGCACGACCAATGGAACCTTGCATGGGATCCCTTGGATGCTCCTATTTCCCTTCCTCCTTCCCTTGTTGACGATCTGCATTGGTGGTTGAACAAGGGTCACACATCGGCAGATGATCCACTTCCTCCCCCTTGTCTGGTTTTGCACATCTTCAAGAACTCTTCCCTCTATGGCTGGGGGGTGTGGATCGATCAGTAGGAAACTTCAGGACAGTGGTCTTACTATATCCACATCCTGATGCTTCTAGCCATACATCGTGCTTTGGTTAATTTTCTTAATCTTGCCAGAAATCGTCTGGTAAATGATCCATTCTGACAATTCTACCGTGGAAGCTTATATCAGTCACTATGGAGACACCCATTCTCATTCCATTTGTGGTCGAACCTTGGATCTCCTCCTTTGGGCCCATGTGCTTGGTATTCATCTCCTTCCATGTCATGTTCCAGGTACTTTCAACCTTGTCTCAGATCGTCTTTCCCAACCGGACAAAATGTATCTGACAGAGTTGTCTCTCAATCATCAGGTTTTCCAGTGGCTATGCCTTTGGTGGGGTAATCCTCACCTGGATACGTTTCCCCACATCCTTCAATACCTAGTTACCTCTCTTTTGGTCTCCAGTTTTTCATTCACTTGCACTGACTATATATGTGTTCAGCCAGGACTGGACCAACAAATACCTTTATGTATATCCTCCCATTCATGTCCTTCCCAGTTGATTTCGATCATCCACACCAGTGTGTCAAGTCCTTCTGATTGCTCCTTTCTGGCCAGCACAACCATGGTTTCCACAACTGCTCCAGTTCCAGTCTTCCCCACCATTAAGCTCTTATTCCATCATTTCAATGTCAACCTCAGTCACCAACATTTCATCCAGTCCTTCCTACCCTCTGTTTTCATGCTTGGTTTTTATCTGGTCCTTAACAAGATCTGGACTGTCATGGAGAGTCGCTTAATTTTTCGCACATTCCATTTGCCCTTCCTCTATGGATGTTTATCAACATAAATGTAATGTCTTTGGGTCAGGGGTTTTCACCTGCTCAACCCACTGTTTCTCTTCTTAGAGATTTCCTCACTTGGCTGTTAGATCAGGGGACTTCTGTCTCCTCAGTCGCTGGTTATCAGACCACAAAATGTACACTGTTGAGATGAGGTGTTCCACAAGATCACTCGTACGTTTTTCCTTGCAATATATTTGCTTCATTAATAAGCCCATTCTGTACTGTACTAACCCATGGACTTCATGGGTAAAGCAGAATGGGATAGCTGCCCAACCCTACCATTCCTTAGATTGAATAAATCAGGAGTGGTCTGCTTTTCAAAATAGGGTTTTCGTGGTCACTCGTTGCACTGTCTCTGGTGTTGATGTTCCTCCTGACTTCCCACTGCATTTTTTTCCAGTGGAATATGGGAGTCCTTACCACTTTCCAGTTCCAAGCCGCTGGGGTGGTGGACCATGGAGGCATCCCCCTGAATGTGAACGATATATATATACATTGCAAACAATACTGAATCCATTCTGTTGAGAGTAGGGTGGTGGTGTTCTGCTGGTGTAGATGACAAGATCCTCCAATCTGACACTCCATCTCTGAATGGGTTTATCCTAGGGGATGTTGTAGCTTTGGAATGAACTGTCAAAATTGCAGTTCACCCCTTCAATTGGGATCCCTCATCTTACTCCAACATGATGTCAGTTCCCAGTGGCTGGGTTTTGGATTTAGAGCTGGAACAATCAACATAAGTTCTCACTCATGTACTACAGGTGTCTCTCTTCCCTCACTCAATTGGACTCTTGTTCACAGCTACCGTGTTGTGGGTGAACATGCAGGTTACTATGGTTCTTCATATATTGAGGATGTTAGTGTGCTGGGGGGTGGTTCCTGTCTGATTGGTTTTAAATGGGAAATTTCACAATACAGGGACATGTTTATTATTCTTATCATCCAGATGTTGGGTTCCCAGATTGGTACAATGTTTTATCACTTTGCTATCATGAGCCCTGTTCACAAATCAGTGGGAATATCTCCTTCTGGTCTGCTGAACTTGAGGTGAAGACTGTATGATCCTTTTTTCTTCCCCCACCAGATGGCTGGATTTTGGAATGCAGTTAACTTGCTGCTAGTATGATCCTATTTCCTACCCCCATTTGGATGTTGGTTCCCAGAGGTTGGATTTTGGATTATAGTTCACTTACCAACAGTATGGTCCTCATCCTACCCCCACATGGATTTTGGTTCATGGTGGCTAGGTTTTAGATGCAATTGACTTTCCGTGTACATTCTATCATGCCCTAGACACTCTACACACTGAGGCACATCTATTTCACTCTCACCCACATTAATATTTTCAAAGGGATTGAGCTTAGATATCAGGTGGATCAGATCTCTATCCAAACATTGTTCTCTCCATTTTGGATGTGCTCCTCCACATTTTCTGCCCATGTTTGCGATACCTCTTTCCACACTGGGCTTAGACTGTACCTGGTACAAAAGTGGTGTGGTCTCCCACATAGATTCCTCTACTGCGAGGATCTCCCCTTTATGGGTGTTCTTCCCTCGCACTGGTCCCTCCACTTATTCAATGTGGGATTCTAGCTATATCTGTGAAAAGAGATAATGTACCATATTGAAAGTTATAATTTTCCTATACTGAAAATGTATTTCTCATAGTACTTAACTCATGTCACACTTCCCACCCTTCCTCTTCACTGAAAACTGGTGCTTCCGTGATAGTTCAGTAGAATCAAATATAGGGAGTCACACTCCTATTGGTGAAGGTTTGTCACACGATGATTTACATGCGAGACGCAGTTGAACCACAATGATCATAGGGTATATGGAAGCTCAAAGTTTGTGACATGTGAAAACATTTTGCATATAGAGGGCAGCACTGAACACGAATAGCTATATCTGTGAGGGGAGGTAAGTACCTATCAGATATACAAGGCAGTTTAGGAAAATTATAACTTTTTTTTTATTGTAAACAGTTCACCTACTCATAATTTCTTTTATTTTTGTCAGTTGAGAACAAATATTATTTTACTGCTTGGTCTTATAAATCTGTAGCTACAGATTAACTTGAATTAGCACCCATCTATCTGAAATTGAGTTGGACAACAATTTAGTAATATAGATAACCTATTAAAATCATTTTTAGTCATCATCAATCAATTCAACTAAAAAGATGAAATTTCTCAAGGAAAGTTAAGTTCCTCAAGAATGCAATTTTTCTATCCCTGTTATGTATGTTTAAATGCTATATTCTGTTTTCAATTTTAAAACTTTGTAATCTTTTTACTCTTTTATACAGGAAAAACAATCATCCATTATAAATACAACTCATGAAAATCGAAATAGTTAACTATAAGATAAAACCATGTTTCGTCTAAGCCCAGCTGAAGTGAATGAACTTTGTTTCCAAGAGAATTTGAAACAAAGAAAATTAAGGTTATTGCAGGTAAGTTAATAATACAGGTGACATACTTCTCACAAGAAATGTCTTAATTTACATGTATATACATATCTATTTCAATTGTCATGTTGTTGAATAGCGTATATGACAAAAATATAGTTGGAATGCTCTGAGGTCAAACTAAAGCCATTATGATGTGATAATATCCAATTGGAAAAATAAAACCTAAATATTGGAATTTATAAATCTTAATGCAGAACAAAAGAGCCTTTGAATGAAAAACATAAATTTATTAGTGGTAAATCCCAAGGTAAATTATAAAACCAGTTGAATTGTCAGTTATAAATTTTTCTTTATAGCAAAGTTGTTTAGTTACAAGAACTTTTTTCCATGGTACATAACTTTATTGTTGTATGTTATGTAGGTCCGAGAACAAGCAAAAAATTTTTCTGCAGACATCAGAGAGGATTGTAGAAAGGAGAGGGGAAAGCAGATAAATGCATTGAAAAGAAAGATTACAGTAAGTTGTCAAAAAATTTACTTTTGTTATTTCTAGTTATTTGTGTAGGATACTGTTAAGTGTATATAATGTTTATATTTTACTACTAGCAACTAATACTGTGATAAGCTTTATTTTCAAGAGGTGTAAAATTAATGTGTAGACTTTAGTGCTTGGTTGTTTTAGGAGAGTTGCATTAGATAGTGAAAGATGCTGGTTAACAAAGAAGCTATAGAAGTAAGAAAAGAAAGAATATATTAAAGACTGTTCTTTTAATGGCTAAGAAATGAGTATGAATATGCTGGGTTTACCATGACTGCCATGAGGCAAATGTATATCAGATTTAGGGAAATATAAATGTGTGAACATCTGACTGTTAATTGGGGGGTGGGAAGGAAAGGATCCTAAGCTGTTTGTAATAGGGTTTTCTGTAGTTACGCATATTTAGTGTGTAAATGATGAAGTACATGGGAAACTTAGAAGAACCTTTGTCTATTTGGATGGAAGTGCAGCATTGTGGGTAGACGTGATTAACAACAACTCTTTCAGTCACAGTAAATGATATTTGCCATTGTAAAAGGATCAAAAGATCTGATCCTTACCTTAAGAATATTCTCCAAGTAATTACACCACCAATAACTGCTTGTATTGCAGGATCAATATATGGCTTTATCCATATTTTTATTTTTCCATTAGTACAGATATAAGGTGAAACATGACCTATCAGGCCACATCATGTACTTTCACCACAAGCATTAATAAATACCTAAAGCAAGAAAATAATTGTAACAAATCCTCTAACTGATGAGAAGTAAGTATGAATGCTTTCAATCCTAGTTGTGGTTAAAAAACTTAACTGTGTATTAATGTTGCAAGTAAGCTGAACTATAATTAATAATCAAATTTGTAATACGACTTCCAATACTAAGCACAGGTTTTATAAAATCATGTGCAGTAACAGAATATGTTATTGTTGTATAAAACTTTGTTCTGATACGATCTCTTACCTCCTCTCACAAAATAGCTTTTCTCAATTAGTACTGCCCTCTATTGGCACAAATTTTCAATGCTAGCTACTAGCCTTCCAATATCTGCATATATTAATGATTATATAGCAGCTCTCCACATTTGCACTCATTAATCACTCCTTGATTAGCAGTAGTACTGTATAGACATATTTGTTCCTGCTCACAAGTTTGTCGACATTTGTCTTTATTCTACAGACTTAGTTTTTCTTATTTCTTTATTTACAGGGGCCTTTTTATTGGTGTATTATGGATACCACTCCATGACGAGTGGTGCCTGACCAGGTATACTTTTTTTTTAAAATCCGCAATCCGCACTGTCCATACTGTGACCATGCTCAACGCCAATTACATTGTAGCTCTTCCTACTGCAGACCTGATGTACAATTCCAGATGCCACCTGGTGTTGGTTGTGTGTCTCCATTCAATTATCATCTATGCTGAAACATTTACATTGCAGGATTAGATTACACACACTGTAGAGATGGGGTGTTCTATAGTACCGCTAGTAGTTTTCTCTAGTGGTCTTTTGCTTCATAACTACATTCCTCCCGGACTGTACACTCATGGATATTCATGAATCAAGCAGACAGGGATTGCTGCCCATCTGTGATGCTTAGTGGTGTTGAAACTCTTCCTACATACAATTCCAGATGTTGCCAGGTTTGGTTAATCGACTCCATTGACATGGTAGCTCTGCTTTTCAAAATATGGTATCAGGGTCACCCATTGCACTTTCTCTGGTGGTGCAGTCCTCCAGACTCTCCATGGATGTCAGTTCGTGGTGGATGAGGTGTTGAGTTGGAAATGACAGATTTTGGTCCTCCAGACTCTCCATGGATGTCAGTTCATGGTGGATGAGGTGTTGGGTTGGAAATGACAGATTTTGGTACAGAAGCTTGTGTTCCCTTCCAATTCCCATTTCCAGGTGAAGAGGTAGGTGATCCTCTACCTACTGCGAAGCTGTTGTACAATTTCAGATACCACCAGGTGTTGGATGAGGTCAAACTACCACTACGGTCTGTTGTGCCCTAGCCACTCGACACACCAGGGTCCTATTAATTGGTAATAAGTATTATGGGATTCTTTCATGTTTTTCCACCTTTTATTTTTGTAACACATTCATAACAGTGCAAAGGGTATACCTGGATCAGATGTAGTGTGGTCTTCTGCTGAGGTGAGATATTTTGTTTTTTGGATCTACACCTCATGGTCTCTCTTTGGACATTTCCTAGAGGGGAGGTGAAATATCGTATCGGAAGTTAACATTTTCCTAAACTGAAAATGTATTTCCAACACTTACCTCTTCTCAAATTTCCCACCCATGAAATTTCAAAAGTTGATATTACTATAAAGCAAAAAAAAAAAAGATTCACCTTTAAAATGCCTGTTGAATTAGAGATTATGGTTTTATAACAAAGGATATCATTCATACAGCATTGACGGTTTCTATCTGTTCTTCAATAAAGTACAAGGTTTTTAATAATGCAAAGTTGTTCGTAAGTTATGCAAAAAAATTTAGCCTGTATGCAAAAATGACATATTCTGTATACCATGTATTCCCCCACCATCTTGCCTCAGCTGTACATAACAGGAGGAGTTTATTACACTTCACAACACGCAGTCCCTGCAATTAAAGTTTTTTTGCTTTCTCAATCATATATATCTGACAGCAGTCTGTCTTGACAGTCAGCTGAGTTTTGGTAAGATTAGCCAGTACGATAAGCAGGCTATTTCATCCAGTATGGGTGGGCAGTCTGTGTACTTAGTTTTTTATTATTAATTGTGTCTGTCATCACTAATCGAAATACATCTGTATACAAGTTTTTTAGCCATGTGTTCAAAATGTGTGTTTTTTAAAACATTAACGCAACATCTGAGAATACAAGAATTTACAATTCAAATATTCTTTAAGTTTTGAAGATGCAAGTTGAATTATAAATAAAGGATGTGAAATTGATAGTTTTAATTCATTACCCTTTCAAACTGAAATATATATATATGTAATTTGGGACTTTGCTATTTCATTTTATTTAATTTTTTGAGCTCTTCTCTTTTGTGCATGCATGTGCCAGTGAAAATAGAAGTAAATGATGATGTCAACCAGTGGCTAGTTCACTAGAGTTAGATTGTAGCAGGAGAATGGACTAGATTGTGAAGTCACAACTGCATAATTTATTTGATCACGTAAAACATTTTAAGGGTAATAAGTTTGGAAATGTAGATGTAGATTTGATATTGAGCTAAGTAAAGCTAATTCCCTGTTAGAGTTATAAGTGGTTTGATTACTAGGAACCCACTATTTAGAAAATAAAGTTTGGAGATACTTTGAATGGGTAGTGAAAAACTTTATTACAAATGTACAATGTTTTGACAAGCTTATGTCATCATTAGGTACAAGTAGTTTACATAAACACAGGAATATATATATACAGTATGGAACAGAGGTTGCATGACCAGAGATTGGTTAACAGCTTAGTAAAGGTATCGTGGCATCCTGGGGTGTTGGTTTAGAGTAGAAGTGTTTTGTTTAAGTATACAGCTTCCTTTATTTATGTTTGTTTAAAATTACAGTGTTTTGTATAGATATACTGTGGTTTTTTGAATTTCAAGCATTTGTAATAAAGTTTTTTTTTCACTACCCATTCAAGTCGTCTGCAAACTTTATTTTATAAATGGTCTATCTGACAATGTTGTGTGTGCTGGTTGTTTAAAATCTTTTAATTAATGAGTGTGTGTACAAAGTTTGGGCTGTTTCCTTTGATGGGTGAAGGAATAACCTGAAGGGCTGAATGTTTTCCATCACCTGGCATTTCTTATGTAACTACAGAAACAATGGGCATAAGGTAAATCTTGCTGTGTATGGAATATATTTTTGAATGAAGTGAGATACACCTAAGATCTGCATTCGTGCACATTTTTAAGTTTATATATTGTAGGAATAACGTATATTTATACGTATTTATTTAGATTATTACTTTTTTTTTCCTTCTTTTTTTGCTCACCCAGTGAACTGGAAGACAGAACATTACTTTATATTGTCAGAAATGAATCCATTAGTAAAGTTGATGAAAACAGGGAGACCGTGTTAACATTTTAAATTGTTTTTTTTGTGCTACTAATGAATTTTCAATTTAGTTAGACTTCTACACAAAGTAAAATTAGTATTTAAGTTGCCCTAACCATAGCACAAAACTTCTATAAATCTACATCATTTGTTTAAACGTAACTACTTAGTAAGCAAAAAACTTTCTTGGCATAAAACTTTTGTTATTATGTTAAGAGAATATGTAGATAAGAAAAATTTCATTCCGTACTTAATTAAATTGTTAGATGTTAACATTATTTTTTATTGGGCTTTTGTTGAAATTTTATAGAAAGAACTTAAGCAGGAGAAAGAGAATGACTTGCGGTTACTAGAGTCGATATATGAAGGTCAATTAAAGAAATTTGGAGAAGGTCATAGAGCAGCTCAAAATCAGGTATGTATGAGTATTTAATAATTTATTAACATATGCTTGCATGGTTTTAGTATTATGAATACTGTATTTGTTTCATAAAAATAAGCTCCCTCTAGTGCAGGTCTCAACAAATCCCAGGTGCCAGGTTGCCAAGGCAACTAAAAATGTCATCATGGCACCTAGTACTTTCTCCCATTTTATTCGTACATAGGGATATGCTAAATAGAACTCGATTCTAGAACAGTTTTGGACTCTTGAAAGTCCAGATCTATTTTCAGGTTCGAAATCAAACTTTGTTTCTAGGATTTTAATGGCAGATTCAGCACTTCATATTTTTTCAGGAATGAGGCACTGCATTTCCACAACACGTTACTAATTTCATGCTGTTTTGTTTTTCTTCTTTCTCTCAATTCAAACAGTCCCTACTTTGGCAGCTTTAAACACTTATCTGTAGGCCAAAGTAAGGATTAAATTTTATAAACTTGTGATTGTGGTTTTAATTCTTGTTTCATTACTTTTTATAGCAGGATCCATACTTCATTTTAAAATTCATAATTTTTTTAATACTCTTGTAAAATAATGTCTTAGAATGGGTAGATTGTTATGTTAAAAGGTAAAATTGTCAGCTGTCACAGAAGAAACTGGGCTTTTGGATTTTCCTATTTTAAGTTTGAACTATTCAGAAAGAATAGTGTATACTGGTGATATTCATTTATTCAGAAGTTCAAAAACATCTGTTTGTAGTGTACTAGTTTTTTACAATGTTTTCTACATAATTTACTAACTACATTTCAGCCAGATATTGAACAGCTAAAAGAGGAAAAAATGAAAAATCAGGAAGCAGTAGCTACCTCCAGAGGCAAAGAAGCTCTTGCTGCTTTGAGAAAAGAAGCAGCATTGAAAAATACAGAAGCTAAGAAACAATCGGAGGCTAGACAACAAGCATTAGAAGTAGAGAAACAAAGAGCTGCCTGGATTTCTAGTCTTGATCTTCCAACCTTGGACCAAGTTGACCAAGTACTGTTAAACACAGGTCGGTTATTGTTTTACATGTTCAGTTAACACATGTATAAGGAAATAATAATGAAAAAAGGTCTTCGTTTCACTTTCATGTGTTGATATTACCATGTTTGCCTCTACTGAATGGAATACTGGCTTTACATTACACTAATCATAAAACTGGAGTACTTTTTTGCGATTGCACCTAGGCTCTGCTCTTTAGTAACAGAGGTCGCGTAGACCATTTAATTTTCTGTCAAATTACAAGTTGCTTCTCTATTGCTGTTTTTTGAATAATGTCACAAGGTAACTGATTTAAAAGTCAAGCTGAAAGCAAAGTGAATTATTCAGATGAACAGAGTGAATGAAAAGACAGTCAATTTTTCAGCCAAATAGTATTTAATTTTTCCCCTCTGTTTTTTTTAACTTAAGTTACTTTGTGATCACAGTTGTGTTTTACAGAGGGTTGATTAAATTATCTAAAATGTTTTTGAAGCCTCACCACATTCTTACACTATATCCCCACATCCAATCATTCTCTACTGAGGAATATACATATTGACAATAACCCTACAGCTTTGTATTCATTTCAAAAGAATGTCATGTCTAAAACTCACTACTCCTTCCTGTTAGTGTAGAGGATCTATTTCAACAGTGATCACACAGAATGCAAACGTGCTACATCGGTTGAATTAACTATGAATACCCATTTCATTCATCAGCTGCTAGAGGTCTGGCATAGTTGAATGGGAGGTATGAGTGGAAGCCTTATCTTGGTAAACCCATACCCTGTTTGCCTCATTTTCAAAATGAAATCCTTCTTGATTATCTTTCATGCTGCTTCCTGGGACACATGGAAGGTTTTTGCCATGGACTTTTATATTCGTGAATTCTCACCAGTTACAAGACACCACACTTTGCTTCACACCAGACATGCAACAAGTTGCATGTCTCTTTCTGGATGGTCATGGTGCCCCAAGTTGATCCATATTCCTTTCTTTTTTAATATCATTAAGTACAAAGGATATCCCAATCTTGGTAATTCTTAAGTCCACAATCACAACTCATCTTTACAATCTGAGTGTTTGAATAATTTGCATTAGAAAGGGCTGTTACATTCTCTTCTCAAAAGCAATCTATTTATGGTGATATCACACAACCTATGAAATGCCAAACAATGTCAAAATGTAGTTCTCATAATTTCATCCCACCTCAACTGTATAGCAGCAGTGGTTATCAAATGACTTTATGATTTGTTTATTCATAATCGTTTTTATTTGATGTACTCAACCCTGCAATATTATTTTTAAAAAACAGTAAACAAGTTATGAGATTGATCCAATGAGCAAAGAATATAAAAAAACTGATGAAATTTAACAATAATTTTTTTCAGTCTACCTAAAACAAGAAAATGACTGATTTGAAGTTTACCAGAAATTCACATGTGTGTGTATGTGTGCATGTACAAGAATCACACTTTCCCGGTTGCCCAAATGGGCATTTAAATAAATGAATTTGTCTTCAATAAATAGTGACACCTGGCAAGTAGAATCATAATATATAAACATGTTGCGTGTTAAAGATATTATAAAGTTTTTTTTAACAAGGATGTTACACGAGGTTATAAGCTTTATGAAAATATTTACCGGTAATCTATACTGGATTATAGTTGCCATTTATCGCTTAGAATCCTACTGATCTTAACTGCACTTCTCATTTCTCTGTCAGACATAAGAAATATTAATCAGTATCATATTCTTTATTCACAATACTTATTATAGGGCACCAACAGATTAATATACCAGTTGTGTTACAGTATTGTGAGGATTTGATAATAAATTGAAGCATTCTGCTTACTAACTGATAAAACCAACATACATAATAATCAAAATATTAATTACATCCTGTTTTTAGTGATGTTGCACACGAGACAGGTTATTGTATCTAATGATATATGCTGTTTTCTCTCATCCAACTACCCTAAAATCCAATCAAACAATCTCTCTCACACCTTCTTTCCTATTAATGTGGTTTTCTTACTTAATCTTATAGGTGGTACCTTATCAAAAACCTTTTAAAAATCATAAGTACACCAAGTCCATACCCTTTTCCATCATCCATATAACAAGCAACTTGCTAGTACATTAACTATGATAAGTTTTTAGATATATATTTTATAAAATTTTAAATACGGGTAACAAAATTTATGACTAATGAACATATTTTTTAGAAGGTTATTATGTTCAGATAATTTTTCAGCTTCATTGTGTAAATACCATATTTCAGGAATTTCCATACCTTTTGTAATTAGATGGTAGTTTTTTTTTTAACATAATTATGGCAAAAACTGCACTCCAGTTAAGGTCTTTCACATACTTTTTAAAGACCGCGTGGTCAAAATGTTCACCATTTCTCTCTCTCTCTCTTTTTTTCCACTGTGTGCTTACAATTAGCTGCATTTTAATGTTATTTTGTAAAGTTTTTGTGATTCTTTTGCTTTTAGGAAAGAAAAAAAAAGAATTGCTTTCAATTTTGACCTAATTTCATGATTTTTTTTTGTCCCATTTCAAAGATTCGATTACAGCTACACAAGACACGCCAAACAACGGACAACAAAAATTGCCTCATGTGGAAAAGGAAAAATGGGATACTCAAGTATGCATATAATTCTCATAATCCTTTTTTACCCTTTTCATTTTTTTGTTAGTATTTTTTCATTTTTCAAATAATTTTTCCTAAAGGTAAAGGCATCAATTATTACTTGTTTGATGGAGAATATGTATGGTGTTTTGAGTTGTCTGTTACCCACCACTGTGAATCTATATTTATATAGAATATGAAGAATGTGAAACATTAATCCTACTAATTTATTCTTCTTAATTATTTAGCAGACAAGTTGTTTAACATGCTAAAAGTAAATATGAAAACCAGTTTGCCATTCGATTCACCAATTGTCAGTGGGTTATACTGATCAGTAACCCTGGATTATGGCAAATAAAAATAATGAGACTAGGCTTTTAATAGTGGTTGATGGTATATTCATGTTTAGAACAGTGGAGAACATATTTGTACATAAATGATATCTTTAAAAACCATCCAAGTGTTCTTTGCTATATGTCACACAATTCTAAAATAATTGCTTGTCTTATGTTTATTGGCTGTTTAGATAAAAATTAAGTTTTCTGTCATCATTTCATTTTAACAAGCCTAATATGACTATTGTCAGTTTTTAGATACAATGGCAATATTTAATAATATATATTAATGTTAATTTTTCTTATTGTCAAATTTAGGGTTAGTAGTAAAATAAGTAAGATAGAAATTTTACATGATATATATTTATCAAAGTACTTTCTTCGACACAAGAAGATAACTATAATATCAATTAACTTTTTTACACTTCCAACATTTATTATTCTTTGTGTTTTTACTACACAAATACATTCAAACTTGGAAAATAACAAGTGATCCTGTAAATCTTGTGATTATTAAGTTCACATTTCATTTAATGTAAAAATATAGCACATGTATGGCAGTATAGATATTCAGAATAAAGCCTGAAAAAAAAAACTGTGCTGAATGAAGTAACTTGTTTGCCACAAGTTGGTTGTCGATAAGTATAAAGACAAATGCTTTAGGGAGATGAATAGTAGATAAACACTATCAGTAGATAAACGAAACCTGGTGAATAAAAGTTAAGTATGAATATTGTAAAGTAAAGAGTTTGAACAAACGTTTTGTAGGATGCTCTCTACACTTGGAAATAAATTTTAATATGTTACATCTACGAATCTAATGGTTTGAACAACTGGGTAGTACAAGTATTAAAGAAATGTATATATATATATACTGTTGGATCGTGTTTAATCAAAATTACAGGTAAATCAATTAATGTCACAAAGATAATCAACTGATTGAAATTAGTGTTTCTGATTATTACTGAATTTAATTATATCAACTAGCCAAGTATTTGAAATTTTGCAATAATGATTTTTCCATAATTATTTTACATTTATTCAAGATCATTCAGCTTAATTGATTAGCGTCACTGGTTATGAAAATAATCAATTAATCTAAATTAATGTTTCTTGATTATTCCAAGTAATCAAAATATCAGTTATCACTACTTCCATTGGTGGGACTGCAGGTGATGGTATGCATGATTTCTGCTTGAAATGTGAGAGTATGGCCTTGTGACTGTTCACTTAACTAGCTATAGTATGTTCATGTTTACCTTGTATGTCTAAATAATAGTGTAGCTATAAATTTAATATTAGTTAAATATTACAAGTTAGTGTTATTTGAGTATGATTAACTTAATGTAAAAAAGTTATGGCAAGTTAATATTCATTATTCTTTATTCACTCAAAAAAATGTTTATTGCTGAATGATTTACTTGTTTAACTGTATTTGTCAGAAATTACTAGACTTGGACTAATTACAACCTCACGTTATATAAAAGTTGTTAACCTGTTTACATGAACAGGACTTATGTTTAATTATGACTAGCTCTAGATAGGTAGAAAGCAATGAAAAGGGAAACAAAAGTGTCTGTCATCAATGACACTTGCCACTTAAATGCTGCCCAGTAGAGCAAGCTTTAATTTGTTCAATTTATTGATTTTTCAGCATTACATATGTTTAGACAGTTCTTCCAGACTATACTGTAAAATGTAAATATATTAATCATTATGATATATTTTATACTCATGAAATATACATTTTTCACATTGATGATGGAATTAGATAACAATCTGTAAACAAATAATTTTTTCGTATTATTTTTTATTTAATTATATTTTGTAATACTTCGATTTCTACCTTATGAATCATTTTACTCTCAGCCAAGAGATCATATATTATATTCACAAATTTTCTTGCCAAAAGTAGATGTATTGTCTTTTTTTTCTAGGATTGGTGTGAAAGTGTTTTCACGGGATTACATTAGCTTTGATACACACTGTGACAAGAATATCTACTAGTTTTATTAGAATAGTCTTGTAAAGAAACCCCCAAAACACTATTAGTTTTATTTTCAGCTTGTTACAGGATTTGTACTAAGTTGTGTAAGTAATACATTTTAATGCAAGAAAGTTAAGAGTTAAAAAAAGTAACTTATTCCTAAATTGTTGTACCTGAAATTGTTTATCATATTAAATGAAGGTTACTTCGAAAATGTGTTAGAAAGTAGGAAGGTTAAGTCTTGTGAGAATAATCAGTTAGTTGAGTGTAATCGATTAATGAGCTCGACAACTAATCATTTAATAATTTTCACTAATCACCTAGCTCTGTGTGCTATTATACCAACTTATAACAAATAACTCAGATTTTAACACACTTTAGAAAATTTTAAAAATACAGTATATATATTGCATATGAAGAAAATTTATTTCATTCGTTACATGAAATAACTTCAAAGATGATAAAAACTTTTATTTTTTGGTGTGTTATATAATTTTGTATATAAGTGTTCCACTTGATGTAGCAATGTTCTTCATTATAGAGAGATGCCAGAGTAGCTGCAATGGAGGAAAACATGAACATTGAAAGAAATGCTGAGATGAAGCAAGAAGTGGATAAAGATAATGCAAAAAAAGCAAAAGCTCGTTTCAATGCTGCTTTAGAAGATGAAATGTGTGACAAGGTGAGTCAGTATTTTATGTTTTAGCCTGTAAGAAATACTTAGTTAAAAAAAAACAGAAAACGGGTAAATGAAACCATGTTTAAAACTATCAATATGAAAAATTGGAAAATAATTAAACCTAAAGAAAGTTTCTCCACCATTTGACGTATCAAGTATATTTGGTTTAACTATGAAAACTCATTGGAAGGGTCCCAAAATTTTCTGTATATAAAATAAGCTTTATGATGAACTTGAAGTTTATTTTGCCTTAAATAACTATTTTTAATCACATCACTTTTGGATTTAGGGATTTGCTAAAATCATCGAACATCTGGACTCCGCAGAAAAACAAGAATGGACAAAAAACAAGCAAGAATATGGAAAAGTGGTTATCCAAAATTAATAGTATTTATATTAGTTGTGTTATTTTGCATGGCTGTATCAGACATCAAGGATAGAAACAGTAAAAGTTGGTTTGAATTTGTATGAACATGTAAATCAAATTTGCAGTTTTTAGCCATGTGTGTGTGTTTATTTGATAACTAAAGTCATATAACAATGAGCACGTAAAATTCTCTATGAACTTTCATATTGTTTTAAATTTGATATATTCCATTTCCACATGGAAAAAAAACTACTGTTTTTAATAACTTATCAGCTTATTCTTGTTGCTGAAAAAATTTAAATTCTAGTTTGAGACATTACATAAAAGTGTGAGAGGGTTAATAAAAATTATGATTTAGTTTATTATAATGAAAAACATAGCTGTTATTAATTAAGAAATTAATTTTTTAAATGTTCACTAGTTTGTTTTTAGTTACTATTAGTTACAAGCAACCTATATGTTGTAACTATTGAATTGTAGGCTTAAGTAGAAAATTCAAAACTTAAAGATTTTGAAGTATTTGTAGTAGGTATATTGTCTGTTTAGCAAGACAAATCTTTCATGTATTGTATTCTCTCTTGTGTAAAAAAAAAAGTATTTAGCACTGTGTTTTTTTAACAAAAGAAAAAACCACCAATGGTCCAAGATTCCAAGCAGAAAAGTGAAAAAGAGGAACAGTTAGAATGCATAGTGGAGAAAATCTTTAATGGAATCGAAGGTAACTTTATACTATTAGTAATAGTAAAAAAATGTTAGTTTTTTTTCTCTACATATAAAAGAAATCAGAAAAAATATCATCTGTAACATTCACATATATGTTAGTGCGAGTCATGCTTTAAAAATAAGGATATTTTTGTTGAATAAAACATGTAAAAAATAATTAACTTTTCTGGTGGATGTTTCGAGGTTAGCTGCAACTAAATATAAATAACTGAAAAAAAGTAATAATACGTAAAACTAGTCAGTAAAAAATATATCACTAGTGCAAAATACAGTGTAGAAATACAGTACTAATTGTGAAATTTTACAGCATCAAGTGCACACAAAATATTTTAGACCTGAATTCTGAAAATCTCTACAGTTGATTTAGTTTTTTTCTTCAGAAGCCTAAGCTTGGCGACAGTAAAAAGAGAAAAATTATAAATTTTTAATTGCCATCAAAACAGATCTCTACTCTTGTATATTCTGTGAATTATTGAACTATTCCCACAGACAAGGTATGAAGTTCTCTTTGACATGTAAAATCTTTGTGGCTTCGATTATAGTCACAGAGAAGTGTAGCAACATTGTACATTAATAAATAGATCTATACCTGAAAAATGACTTATGTATGATTAGGTGGTTTTCTGTGTCCATACTGCTGGTAACCTTGCTTTTTAAGGAACTATTCACATTTATGAATAAAGCATACATTTTGTACATGAAGAGGAATAGAGTAATGTATGCTTTTAATTTATTAAGATGATAACTCCAGTTTATAGTTTAAAATGTTTATGATAATGTCATTACATGTACTTATATGTTTGAGATATTGAGAACAATGAAAAGGTCTGAGAATTGTTTATTTTTGTCATTGAAAACAGATATTTCTATAGTTTGCTGCTGCTCCAATAAAAGCTAAACATAAAACACACTGTCAAAATCAAGTGAATGTTGAAAATATTGCATTCTGACCCTCATTTGTTTTAATAAACAAATAAAATTTAAATATGTAAATCAAAACAATTATGAACAAGTTAATTATTGTTACAATAATTATATTTTGATAGGCTTAAAAAAATTCAGTTAAAGACATATTTTCTTCTTGGTCATTGTTGTTCAGATTACTAAATATCTTTTGATACTGTCTACTCCAAAGAGTAAAATCAATCAAAATATTGTCATGCACTACACAAGCCACATGAGTGATTTTATGAATGAGATGTTGTCTAAAAGTTTATTTGTCAAACACTTGAAACAGCTCCTAGTAAAAACTAAAGTAATAACAATTAAAAAGTGTTATTATTTAATGGCAGAAAATATTAGACTACACACACACAGAAGAATTATTTTATTCTTAATGTTTCATATTTTCATGACAAACAGCAGTACGAAAGAGAGAATAGTTTTATTACTTTACTGGTGACATTTGTCTGTGGTATATATTGTAGAAATAATTGAAAAGATGTCCCAAAAAATATATTAACAAAACTAAAAGAAGGTTTGACTATTCAAATAAGTAAGTTCAGATCCATTAGTAAAACAAATTTGTAACAGAACATCATGGGAGAAATGTGAAGAAAGACCATGTCAGAAGTAATTTGAATGAAGAGGAGCTATTGGATGATGATAGGTCACTGGCATCCCAAAAACAGGAGAATTTCAGTGCAACCAGAACCTTAAAGTCATCTAGTAAGTCAAGTTTTTACACATAAGACTTTAGTTAGTTCAAAAATATTAGTTACTTAAATAAGTAATGCAAATAAAATAAATTTTTTGTTAGTTAACATACTAAAGTTTCATTAGGTGATGAAGTATTTTTGTTTTCTCTCTGTTAAAAAAAATAGAATGATAGAATACATTTTTGCAAATATTAAAAAATATTTTGGGTCAGGCTAATGTTGGTGAAATATGCATTATATTTTTTCTAATTAATAATAACGTATAAGAATAAGCTAAGTGAATATTCCCTGTTACTAAATGCATTTAAAGTACAGAATTTAATCTCTTAGTTTTACCATTGTAAGTACCCTTTTATTTTAAACTTTTGTAGTTAGCTTTATCTGATGAATAGATGTGTATCTGATATACCATTCAGCATACAAAAATCTTTTTTTTTAAAACTATGAAAGTATGGTTATTTTAATGCTGTTCCCACGTAATGTTCTGTTAGATGGAGGTTTAACCCAGTTATTGACTAGAATTCGTCAACAGAGAGAGGACCTTGCAAGACAACACATGGATTTTTTGGATAAACAACATTGGCCGAGAACTGATCATGAAAAAACTAGTCCTTTCAAGGTTTCATCACCATACTTAGAGAGAATGGGTATGCGACTTATTTGTTAATACAATTTATAGATAAAAATTTATTTTTTTCCATGAATCTTATAAAAGAAAAGTCAGTTTATGACCTCCTAATTCTCCAGGGGTGGTTTGGAGAGGTAATAATTTTATCTGATGTAAACAAGTGCACGTGTACAAGTGTGGTTGCATTGGTGCGATGATACCAGTCATAATATGTAATAAAATAACATAAAGTTAAGAGAATAACTAGAAAACCAATAGATACAGCTTCCTTTTGTTCATTGTTTACTGACATTGGTTAAATTACCAATTCAGGACAGTATGTATGGATATCTTCACTTTCAAGGCCTTTGAGTCTGCCATTGGGTCATAATTACTCGTGTTCTGTCAAGAATGTCCTTTAAAAAATCTTATTCAGTCAAAATTAACAGGAACATTAAATTTTATGGTTGTTGTAAGTTTCCTTAATGATGTGTATTTTGTGATTTATCCATATGTATATTGGACAGATTTGGAACAATTTGATCAGAGTTGATATTTTCATGATTCCCATAAACCCTTATAGCCACTGATTGACTGGAGAAAGCCAGTCCCTCAAATATATAGCTTGTGGGTCATGAGACACATTCTTCATAATTATATCCTAATTCCAATATTTGTGTGCTATTATTTATGTTTGACTTACTAGTCTGGATCCATATTTTCTATACATCTTGTTTAAATACAAACAATTTTTGGTTGTTCAAGATCTATCCAAAATGCCACTTTCCTAAAAATGAAACTTTGTACATGTTAAAAGGATGGGAAGTGATTGTTCTCTAATGAAGTTTGTATGAACATAGTAAAATTTCTTAAATTAAAAAATAACTTCAATGACATACTGAGTACCCATATTCTGTCAAATTTCTCTCAAAGCTGCTCAAATTTTTAACAGTTCTGTCTAGAGATTTTGGGAGCATCGGTAATCTAAGTCTACATTTTTGCTGGTTAATAGAATTGCTATAAATGTTGATTTTTAACAGCTTTGTCAAGAGAACTGTAGGCATCAGGAGGCTATGCCTGTTTCTTCTAGTTAATACAATGGATAAGTACCATGTCTTTAATTTAATGCAATGTAATACAAGTTGTTTTTCTCTCTCACCTGATGGGTACATTTTGTTTACCTGTCCATGCTATGCAAGTTTAATAATGTAGAAATTCATTCAACTTGACTATGTTTTGTATTTTGTTAGTTGAATGAGGTCTCTGAAATGTGCTGTACAACAAGCTGGTAGTTCAGTTATAATTACAGTTAGTAAACAGTAATACCTCATATTTTTAAGTAATGGTACACCATTTTATTCTAATAGTTATTTGTGCCATATTGTTTTCTGTATTCCAACTACAGGACATGTTAGTATAATTGATAACACGAGAGAATGCATTACATGTATCTGAAGCAAAACTAACAGCTTGTAACCTAAGCAAATAGTTATTGTTTGTGACTATTTCTTAGCCTTTTGTCCTACTGTTATAAAAAAATAAACTTCCCCAACCTTTTCTAGATTCAGCTTTAGTCTGCATAAATTAATGCTGTGTTAGTAGATAAAATTTTGTGTTGTTACATAACTTCTCAAATAAATTATAGATATGTCTTTATGTGATTATAAGTTTTTTTGTACTGTAGAATTTCAAAGAATGAGAAACATTTTACTTTTGAGAAAATCTGAGTGGATGAATACTTAAAAAGTTGTATTTAAATGTGTTTAAGCTTCTGATGTGGCAAAAATGGGATCAAAGCTTGTTTTTAAACACAATTGTAAACTTATGATGAATTATATTGAAAAATTGTCTTTTTCATGAAAATTTTATAAATGCTTATGCTGTAAATAAAATATCTTAGTGATGCAAACATTTTTGGCTCACAGTCTGTATATGTTGTGATATCTTGATCAAAATTGTTAGTTTTCACCTTTATCAAAAATTTAATGATCTCAAGATAATCTCTTGTTTTCATCAGGATAGCCCCCAGTGGCACAGCGGTATGTCTGTGGACTTGCAACGCTAGAAACCGGGTTTCGATACCCGTGGTGGGCAGAGCACAGATAGCCCTTGTGTAGCTTTGTGCATAATTAAAAACAAACAATTCATCAGGATAACTGTTAAGAAATTTTCAAAATTATGTGTGAATAAAACACATAGAGAAACAAGTTTAATTGTCATTTAAGTATAAAAATGATGCATTACTGTTATTTATGTATTTTTTGTACATTATAATAATTAGTTGAAAAAAAGATACTTAGAGCATTACCATTATTTTTTGAGTTTCGTAATTTAATTATTAAACTCTTAGGAATGTGTTAACATCTGTTATTGTTCTTGTTTTTTTTATCACATAGACACTGACCAGGTCTCTGAGGTTGAATATGCTAAATCACTGAACTTTGATGCAACCGATACACGAAATACAGAGCAACAGTAAGTATAAATCTGAACAATTGAAATCATCCTCATACTCCCTTTGTATGAAAAATATAATAGCCCATATAATAGCCCACTTTTTATTCAAATGTCTCTTAGTTGAAACTAAAAATTAGATATTTTTATATTTTGTCCTTAACTTAATAATTTTGGTGAGTTTTCAAGGAGTATTACTAGTAAACATTCTAGTAAATTACAATTTTATTCAAATGTCTCTTAGTTGAAACTAAAAATTAGATATTTTGTCTTAATCTATTTAACTAAAAAAAAATGTTACAATTATTTCTACCTTTTTTTACTGGTTTTGTTTGTAGCACCTGTTATTGTGTGGTTTAGGTTTCTATTTATTCCTAATTCTTTATGAAAATGTCACATTGCAGTTAAGTAAGAGCAAGAGATCAGAATTATCAATTATAATTACCAAATTGTGGCTTCAAGAAATATTAGCATAATAGCATCATATTTCTCTTGTATTTCAGTGTTTTCTAATGTTGATTTTTACTTTTTTATTGTCCACCTCTGCTATTGTCTTTAAAGCTTGTGTTTAAATAATACCCTCAAACATGCTGATGCAGAAATCACGTTTTAAAAAGTCTAATTTCACCTTAATATAAGATTTTTGACAACCTATAACAACTTTTATAATGATTAATTTGTATTTTTAATATATTATGTCAGTTAAGGCCAGAAATTTGGATAATAGCACATGTAACTAATTATAATTCAACAAGCTGTTTCATCATAATTTCAAATCCTGGAACAAAAGTTTACTGCATATGATTTTATTGTCACTATTTATCTGAATAATTTCCAACCCTGATGATCAGATTCTGCAGTAAGTAATGTGTCTATTTCAATAGTGCTACCAAACTTTCTTCATTATTCTATTCTTGTTTCAAGGCTATTTTTTACTTCTATCTAGAATGTAAGCTTCTGTGTTATAACTGGTAATGTGTCGACCAATTCACATTAACTTCATAGATCATGATGACTGTGTTAGTAACAAGAAAAGAGGTGATCAAATTATTATTATTATTATTACTACTATTTTTCAAATATTTTATATTTATAAAACAGGAAGGAAATGATTTTATGCACATGGTAGTAATTACCTTCCAACATTTTGAAAATTGCAATAAATGATCGAGGCTTTGTGTCAGTTATTACAAGATCTGTCAGATTGTCCTGCAGTTATACTTTTGTGCACTAATTAGTAGCTTATCCTATTAGTAATTAGCTATTTAGTAATATGTTTGTTAAATGTATCCAGGTTCGTTTCATCAAGTAAATTTCAAAGTTTAAGTATAAACAATAATTCTAACTATTTTAACAATTTCGAATCAAAATAACTTTGTCATTTTGTAACATTTATTTAGTGTAATATAAAAAAAAAGTTTTTAAAATGCTCATACCCATATTTCTGCCCAATCCAAAGCATAAATTTTTATTTGATAAGAAATTATCCATTGAGAACACAGTTAACTATGCTCTTCTGATTTTCGTTCTCTGTTTGAAGTTTTATTACTCCAGGCCTTTTTTTTCCCACACTTTTATGATGTCAATCAATGCATCTAAACAATCACTAATGAAGCAAAGTTTGAATACCATTGGATAGAGCAAATAAGATAGTTTGAGTAGTAATTTATGGTTTCATGAGAAAGTGACTACATGAATTCTTGGAGAGGTGAACAAAGGAATCTAATGGGAAGTTTAGGAGACTTAAAAACAAATTACAGATTTTTCTTTATAGTTTTTTTACATGTTATTTTCACTTCTGAAAACGTTTTCATATTAAATTAATATATATGTTTCAAAGCTATGGAAAAATGTTCTTCCACAACAAAACATCAGGTAAGTTTAGTTAGGTTTAGAAAGTATAGTAGGCAACAATAAAATATTCTGATGAGTCAATCCATATCTATTATTGTTCAAGTTTATTCTATTCAAACAAAGTAAATAAGTAAAATACCTTATTATTTGTTGAAAGAAAACTGTATTTATTATATATAAATCTCTCTCTACCAAAATATTGTTACATAGCCTCACAAAGGTAATGGTGATGCCATTGTAATGGGTCAGGTCATAGGTCACTGATTGATCTTTGTAAGTTTTCACCATGCTTTTTATGATGTGTTGACTACTGGAATTGGTAATATTAAGTACCCAAAAAAAACATTAATGAAAATGAAGTCAAGTTGAAATTAACTGAATATATAAAATAGAATTTTCTAATCAACACTAAAAACAAAACTAAAATGTTAAAACTAAAGAAGTATCTTAATGTATTTTCAAAAGATTTTCTTACAACAAAATTTTGGAAATTTCATAATCTAATAAAATTATAGAACAATTACATCACATTACACTAATATTTTTGAGCTGTAGCTAGATACTATTTAGTATCTAAGTTTCTTACAATTTGATTGGATATTTCTACTGTGACAAGGAAAAAATAAAGTTATATCAGACACTCCATTAGTCCTGAAAGTACTCTAGTCATGAGGTGGTTTGAATTGTAATTTATATCATTCAAGCTCATTGAATGGTAGGAAACAACTTACAATATTAATATATAAGTCTAGAAGTTAATATTAACTTTGCTACCCCTTACTTAATTAGATAATTGACTTCATATATTTCATGCAGTATCATGGATTGTCGTAGCTAGTATAATAAAAATAACATTACTGTGAAAATGTTACACTTCACTTTTTTTCTTGTATTCGGGTACAACTGAAGGCTTGTATTTTACCTAACTGTTCATGCTACATAGCACTGTTACGATATATGACTAAGATGCTTGAGTTGTATCTTTATGGCAGAAATATAGTTATGACATTTCTACAAGTGATCTTTCAAAATTTGCTATATATATATATATATATATATATATATATATAT